AACTCTTGTTATTTACTACCGTAGTTAATCTATTGTATATACTAATTTCGATTAACGAAAAATCATTTATTGTACAAGTCAAATTGCATAATATTTGTACTCAAATATATAGAATGCTTTGTTCTTGGGCATCCAATAGAATCAGTTTCAGCAGAGAGGATGTCAATATACAGAAGAAAGATTGATGCGAACCCCGTAGCAACGTTGACTACGAAACCCACAACGAGATTAACGAACCCAAGAAAGCCAAATTAATCCAAAGTTTAGGATTAACTCAAAAGAAAGTTGAACAAAAAAATCCAACAAGAACGACGCTTGAAAGACCCCTTGATCACGCAATCCAAGAATTAAATCCGGTTGTTTGAATGCCATAAGTTAACACTTGATAAATTCAAAATTGTTCAATGAAGAACGATGAAGGGAAGACAATACGCCTCACTTTAGTTCAATATTAATAATGTCAAAAGTTTTTTAACAATTGAATGGAAACTCCTATTTATACTAAACCTAAAAACTAGGTAAAAATCGTGCAAAAGTTGAACATAATCCCCAAAATATGGAAAAGAATCAAAATCTAACAAAATATGAAAAATTGCCAAAATTGAAAAATTTGCCAAATTTTTAACTTGTGCGACCGCATGGTGTATTTCTATGTGGTCGTATGGTTCAACAAGAAATGTCATCTTGATTTTCGGTATGCCACCATGCGGCCGCATGGTGTTTTTGCTGTGCGATCGCACAGGCTTATTTTCAGCCTCCGATTTCGTCGCTTGATAACAAATTGATCCAAGTTGATTCGGCCTTCGACCCGAACATGGAAGTTGCTCCATTTTGAGTCCCGAACATAGTTCCATCAATGGTTTCTTGAACGAACAATCCCATCGCTTGTTTCACTTGCTTTGCCCTTGATCGCGTCATTGGTTTGCCATCGACTATCAACGGGTCTCGTCTCGCACTTACCTTCGTCTGGCTCGACTCCTAGATCATATCATCCCCTCCCTCTTCAAAAGGATTCGTCCTTGAATCTGAACCTGTATCAAATAAAGAGAGATCAGATACATTAAAAGTAGCCGAAACATTGTACTCACCGGGAAGGTCCAACTTGTAAGCATTGTCATTTATCTTTTTAATCACTTGAAATGGACCATCGCCCCTCGGTTGCAACTTGGGCTTCCTTTGCTCTGGAAACTGCTCTTTCCTAAGGTGTACCTAAACCCAATCTCCTGGCTCGAATGTCACGAGCTTCCTACCTTTGTTCGCCTGCGATGCAACCAACTTACTTTTGTTTTCAATTTGCGCTTTTATCTTTTCATGGAGTGACTTAATCAATTTCGCCTTCTTTTTGCCATCTAAACTACCACGTTTATTCATAGGTAAATGAATTAAATCCAAAGGAGTTAGTGGATTAATACCATATACAATTTCAAATGGAGAATATGACATAGTAGAGTGAACAGCTCGATTGTATGCAAATTCAACAAATGGTAGACACTCCTCCCAACTCTTCAAATTTTTATTGATTATTGTGCGTAACAATTGTGTCATAGTCCTATTCACTACCTCGGTTTGCCCATCTGTTTGTGGGTGACAAGTTGTGGAAAATAGTAACTTAGTGCCTAACTTACCCCACAAAACTCTCCAAAAGTGGCTCAAAAATTTGACATCCCGATCCGACACGATACTTCTAGGAACCCCATGTAAACGCACAATCTCTTTAAAGAATAAGTCAGCAATGTTCGTGGCATCGTCAGTTTTGTGACATGGTATAAAATGTGCCATTTTGCTGAACCTATCTACAACCACAAAACTAGAATCCCGACCTCTATTAGTCCTAGGTAAACCCAAAACAAAGTCTATCGAGATATTAACCCAAGCCTTTTTACAACCTATGCATCGACTACAAATTCGCTCAACATCACTTTTCATCTTAGGCCAATAAAAATGCTCCTTCAATACATCTAAAGTCTTTTGAACCCCAAAGTGTCCCATCAATCCACCACTATGTGCCTCCCTTACTAACAACTCCCAAATAGAACAATTAGGAACACATAACCTATTTTCCCGAAATAAATACCCCTCATGCCTAAAGAACCTATCAACCGCCCCTTTTATGCATGACAAATAAATATCCGAAAATTTAACATCTTTTTCATACAATTCCTTAATATGTTCAAACCCAAGTAACTTAGAATCAAGAGTAGTTAGCAATACGTACCTTCGCGACAATGCATCCACCACTACATTTTCCTTACATTGTTTATACCGAATAACGTATGGAAAGGTCTCAATGAATTCCATCCACTGTGCATGCCTCTTGTTCAATTTACCTTGTCCCCGCAAGTGCTTTAGTAACTCATGATCGGTGTGTATTACGAACTCCTTCGGCCATAGATAATGTTGCCAAGTCTCCAAAGCTCGAACAAGTGCATAAAGTTCTTTGTCATATGTAGGATAATTTAAAGCAGCTCCACTCAATTTCTCGCTAAAGTATGCAATAGGCCTCCGATCCTGCATTAAAACTGCTCCAATCCCTATTCCTGATGCATCACACTCAATCTCGAATGTTTTATCAAAGTTAGGTAATGCCAAAACAGGTGCTTCACACAATCTACCTTTAATAGTATTAAATGAAAGTTCCTGTTCATCACCCCAATGAAAACCCACACTCTTTTTAACTACTTCCGTGAGTGGTGCAGTGATAGTGCTAAAATCCTTCACAAATCGCCTATAAAAACTAGCCAAACCATGAAAACTCCTAACTTTCGTTATGCTTTTAGGTGTCGGCCAATCTCTAATAGCTTTTATCTTTTCATCGTCTACTTCTACCCCATTAGCACTAACCACAAAACCAAGAAAAATAACTCTATCCATACAAAACGTGCATTTCTTAAGATTAGCATAGAGTTGTTCTTTCCTTAAAACAATTAGCACATATTTTAAATGTTCCAAATGCTCTCCTAGGTTTTTGTTATAGATTAAGATGTCGTCAAAATAAACCACAACAAATTTTTCTATAAAAGCACGTAAAACATGATTCATTAAACGCATAAAAGTGCTAGGTGCAGTTGTGAGTCCAAACGGTATAACCAACCATTCATATAAACCATATTTAGTTTTAAAAGCCGTTTTCCATTCATCACCCTCCCGCATACGAATTTGATAATACCCGCTTTTTAAATCAATTTTAGAAAATATGCAAGTACCATGTAATTCATCGAGCATGTCATCTAACCTAGGTATAGGGTGACGATACTTTACCGTTATGTTGTTGATAGCTCTACAATCCACGCACATTCGTCATGTTCCATCCGTTTTTGGTACAAGCAAAACCTGTACCGCCCAAGGACTCATGCTTTCCCTCACGTATCCTTTGTTCATCAACTCCTCCACTTGCCTTTAAAGCTCCTTAGTCTCCTCGGGATTACTTCGATAAGCCGGTCGATTTGGAATGACAGCTCTGGGCATGAAGTCAATTTGATGTTCAATGCCTCGAATAGGCGGCAATCCACTTGGTGCATCCTCCGGAAATATATCGTTGAATTCCTGCAACAAAGACTTAGTCAAACTAGGGAGGGGTGGGTTAGTTTCCTCAAAATTCAGGAGTGATTCCTTATAAACGAACAAGATCATATCTTTTCTCTCAACTACCGCTCTCCTCAAATCACTCTCTTTTGCAAAGAAATTCGCTCGTGTTTTCTCTCTTCTCTCGGGGCACTCTCTTTCTTTTCTCTCTTGTGATTGCTCTATCTTTTTCTCTCTAATATCTATCTCAACATTTTCTCTCTTTTTCTCCAACTCACTATTTGCTCTCATTTTTTCTAACTCTTTTGCTCTCCTCTCTTCCTTACTTCTCAATTTTAATTGGTCCTCATAGACTTGCGCCGGTGTTAATGGTACAAGAGTAATGGTCCTTTCATCCTTAATGAAACTATATCAATTTTTGTACCCATCATGCATAGCCTTCCTATCGTATTGCCATGGTCGCCCTAATAAAATATGTCCCGCTTGCATTGGCATCACATCACACACTAACTCGTCCTTATAACTCCCAATTGACAAATTAAGTAACACCCTTCGATTCACCCTCACCTTGCCACTCTCATTCAACCATTGCAATTTATGAGATCTCGTGTGTCTCAACAATGTTAAACCCAATTTTTCTACAAGAGACACACTAGCTACATTAGTGCAACTACCACCATCAATTATAACACTACATACCGTATTGTTGACGTGGCATCGAGTGTGGAAAATGTTCTCCCGTTGCAACTCCAAGTCATCCGCTTTGACGTGAGTAGTGAGAGCTCGCCTTGTGACTAGTAGATCCCCAACTGGCTCTTCAACTTTTTCTTCTTCACTAACACCTTCTAACGCTGGCATGTCATCAAACTCGCCATCACTATTGGATTAGGAGTCGAAGTACCTAACGGTTGCCTAGACGTCCCCTTCCTCTTCAATTGCCTCTCGACCTTCATTGCCACATGTAACATGTCCTCGATTTCCACATAATGTTGCAACTCTACAACATTTGCAATATCCCGATTTAACCCATTCAAGAACCGTACCATGGTAGCTTCTCGATCTTCCTCCACATTAGCCCGAATCATAAGAATTTCCATCTCCTTGTGATAATCCTCTTCGCTTTTCGATCCTTGATACAAACCTTGCAATTTTTGATGGATTTCCCTATAATAGGGACTCAGAACAAACCTCTTCCTCATCAACATCCTCAACTCATCCCAAGTGCTAATTGGCCTTTCTCGATCCCTACGTCGTAATGTAAGTACTTGATCCCACCAAGATATCGCGTAATCCACGAATTCAAGCACTGTCAATTTCACCTTTTTCTCCTTCGAATAATTATAGCACTCAAAAATCATCTCAACATTCCTTTCCCACTCTAAATATGCTTCCGGATCGCTTCTCCCCTTAAATTGCGGAATAGGCATTTTAATACTCCCCAAATTTCCATCTACTTCATCTCCCAAGTTATTCCTACCTCATCTTTCCATCCTATCACCCCTATGCGTCGCTCGACCCATATCAATGTCATTTTCATCAAAATCATCCTCATCGCTATGATACTCATCCTGCCTTTCTCTCCCAGATTCACGCCTACCCGGCCCCCTAGCATTAGACATCTCCACTTGTCCTCGGCTAAGATTAGCAATTGTAGTACCCATTTGTGGCATCCATTCCCCTTGCCTATCCGCCTTCTCCCTACCATCACCAAGTACCCTTTCAAACCTCCTTATCATGTCCTCCGATGCATTGTTGTCATTACCGTTTCGGCTTGAATTAGAACATTCTCTTTTCGACATCATATCACACAATTTCTTATGCCTCACAAAGATTTCACTCGGAAAACACTCACTATGGCTTTTTCCCTTTATTAAACTCGCCACTCGACCTTTTACCACCCAAAGCCTCCCTCCAAGCACTTCAAAGAACCAAGTGAACTAAATCAATTGTTTTACCGGCAATTCAAACAAATTGAATATTAATCAAAGACCACGAGACTCAAAGGACTTGAATAAGTGGAATAGATGAATGTTTTGACATGAATATGTGAATAGACTCAAAAGAAGAATGAAAGACTCGAACGCAATTGAATATCCCAAAAATCAAACACAATGTATGAATTGTTGTTGGTAGAATAAAACACGAAATCAAACAATGATATCATATATATATATATATATATATATATATATATATATATATATATATATATAGTGAACAGTACTTCAAGATGAACAGTACCTCGAATGTACAGTAACTTTTTTTTTGTACTCCTTGATGAAAGAAGATAATTAAACTACCAACAACTAAACGAAACGACGAAAAGAAAAACAAAGACGAAGAAGAACTAAGAAAGAACAATTAAAATAGAAGAAGAAACTAAGAAAACAAAATTAACGACTCAACAAATAAAGAAAAGATATAACTTTCAATTAATTTGGAGCCAAAGCTCTAATACCAATTGATGCGAACCCCGTAGCAAAGTTGACTACGAAACCCACAATGAGATTGACGAACCCAAGAAAGCCAAATTAATCCAAAGTTTAGGAATAACCCAAAAGAAAGTCGAACCAAAAACCCAACTAGAACGACGCTTGAAAGACCCCTTGATCACGCAATCCAAGAATTAAATCCGGTTGTTTGAATGCCACAAGTTAACACTTGATAAGTTCAAAATTGTTCAATGAAGAACGATGAAGGGAAGACAATATGCCTCAGACAATACGCCTCACTTTAATTCAATATTAATAACGTCAAAAGGTTTTTAACAATTGAATAGAAACTCCTATTTATACTAAACCTAAAAACTAGGTAAAAATTGTGCAAAAGTCGAGCATAATCCTCAAAATATGGAAAAGAATCAAAATCTAACAAAATATGGAAAATTGCCAAAATTGAAAAATTCGCCAATTTTTTGGCTTGTGCGGCCGCATGGTGTATTTCCATGCGGTTGCATGGTTCAACAAGAAATGCCATTTTGATTTTCGGTATGCCACCGTGCGGCCGCATGGTGTTTTTGCTGTGCGGTCGCACATGCTTATTTTCAGCCTCCGGTTTCGTCGCTTGATAACAAATTGATCCAAGTTGATTCGGCCTTCGACCCGAACATGGAAGTTGCTCCATTTTGAGTCCCGAACTTGGTTCCATCAATGGTTTCTTGAACGAGCAATCCCATCACTTGTTTCTCTTGCTTTGCCCTTGATTGCGTCATTGGTCCGCCATCGACTATCAACTGGTCTCGTCTCGCACTTGCTTTCGTCGAGCTCGACTCCTAGATCATATCAAAGATTGCGGTAAATTTTTTGAATAATGAATACTTTCTTTATCCCCGATAGTGAAATAGTTATCGTGGCTTAGCTGTACTTTGCTTGTGTGACTGTTGATGATCAGCCGGTTCATGATACCATCGTTTGCAATATGTATTTTACTTTATGTGGTGGTACATAACATGAATTTTGGTTTTATGTGGTGGTACGTAAAATGTATTTTCGTTTACACAGTGGTTTGCATATTTTGATTTATATGGTGGTATGTAATATGTTCTCGAACTGTCATTTTAGACAAATGAAATATCAAGCGTCGAGATTCACAGTTATGTAATGTCGAGAACGACATATCAAACGTCCAGAAATCGAAGAAATGTAGAGAAATATCGTATTTTGGTCCAAGTGTCGTTCTAGACATTCGTAATGTCAAGTGTCGAGATTAACAGCTATTTAATGTCGGTAATGATGTTACAAATGTCGAGAACGGCGTCAAATGTCAACATAAATATGATTCAACCAAATTTAACTAAGAGTGAAGGCAACCAAATGGTGTATTAACTGCAAAAATTGTAGCAAGCAGGTTTATAATTACTATAGCAGTTAAAGTTGGTATGCCAAGCACAAGTACGTTCTCAACCATATTGATGTGAAAAAAGTTGTAAAATAATCACCATGAATGACTTCAACCATATTGGTTGGTGAGATATCTTATCGTGCATTCAATGGACAAGTGTTTCTCCACTATAAAATGTTGGACTTTACTTAAATATGTACATACGAGAATTTAACAAATTCATAGCACTAGTTAGTTTTTCCATTGATTATGCCTTCATCAATTCAACATACTCCTGTTCTTGATGTTACTATCACTTTCGACCCCCCGGGTTGTCCGCGGACAACTCGATCATCATAGACTCGGACTTGGATGATGAAAGCAATATCTTTGTTCCATATGTTCGTCAACCTTCAAACCGCCATCGTAGGGTTTGCCTTCAACCAATCCCTTTTCCAAAACTAATCGACGAAATTGAACCAATTCAAGTTCATCGTGAGATCGTCCCAGTACCGGTCCAACCGGAAGCACATCATGTGTTGTTGGATGAAAATGTTGGAGCAGTTCCCGTCGAAAATGAAGATGTGATCATCATAAGCTCCGACGAGGAGTATGATAGTGATATGTCCTCTTTGTCCATCGTGGAGGATATGTAGAAGATGCAGTCATCGTAAGTGAAATTTTTACGTACATATAGTAGTGCTAAAAAATCCATATAGGTGATGGATATTTTTTGGGGTGATCACCATTTTGTATAATAGTTGTCTACGATATGTATTGGAGTTATGGCTTCCTTTTGTTGTGATTACCATTTTCTCTGCTCCAATGACTTAGGAGAACGAGTCATTCATGGGTTGCTTTTGTATCCATTTCCACATTGTGTCTACAATGATTAAGAAAATCCCATTGATGAAATAGATATGTGCTTGTTCACTTATATGATGAACAAAATGATATCGTAGTGAAATGCTCATAAGAATATATGTAAGCACCATTTCCCTTGTTGGTAGTTATACCCCAAACCTGGCCTCTCTCGTTTGTATCCATTATGACATTCTAAAATGAAGTGTTGTTTGTATTTAGTGAATGCCCATACGAATTTTCCTGTTTGTGCGCCATGAAATTTTGAATAACTAGAATAATATAAGAAAAAAATCACAAAAAATGGGATGAATCCATATAAAGGATTCAAAATGTATTACAAACTTAATTTTACAACAAGCAATTGCAAATAAGTGATATCAAGAGAGAACGAAGAAAGAAACAGAAAGAAGTAGAAGTCAAAAATATATTTAACAACATTTAAAACAAGAGGTAGAAAGCAAGTAATACAAAAGAAAAAAAATTCAAAACATTGATAATTCATGTTATCAGGGCATTTGACGATCGGAATACACAATGACATTCAAGTATACGTGTCACTTAAAGATGTCGAATTCTGACATGTTTGCCTGTTATGTCCAGAACCCCCACATTGGCCGCATTTTCGTCTCAACGTTGACCTTTTAGTTCTTGACCATTGATGTTGGGTAGGAGGTCGACCTGGGTGCTCTACGTATATTCGGGGATAAAACTTCCACGGAACGAATAGACCGAGGAACAACCCAATCTAACTCTTGGCCAACGGGGTGAAGAACTTCGTTGTACACAGCTCGCCAATATTTTGTGGTGTGGTAAGGGGAGCACAAATCATACAATGATTTTTCTTTTGCACAAGCAGCTCGGGATGCATGTGAACATGGGATTTGTTGTATCTGAAACACTCGACATGAACACGTGTTACCTATAAGGTCGATAGTACAAAGTTCAGTAACTATACCTAACTCAAAAACGAGTTCGTCCAAATTTCGTACTGGTAAAGTTGCACCGGCGTCGAATGATTTTCTCAATTTATCATCAATTTTTGGTGTCACAGTCGTACTACATTTCGTGGATACACTTTTTCTCTCGTAGAACCATCGTTGCATCAATGACGTAATATTTTCGATTAACGAGGTTATAGGGAAACTTCTTTGTCACCTCAGGACTGAATTCAATGACTCCGCAATGTTATTTGTCATAACGTTGTACCGATTACCAACAAAATGTGCCCGTGACCAGGTGGATATACCGACACGTTCTTAGTAAGATGCCATTGACGGTCGAATGGTTCTTATCTGTGTCATGAACTGATCAAATTTCGATACGCGGTATGCTAGCACTGCCCGCTTGAATAAGAAGATGACATTGCTACTGCTATACCTAGCAATAAGATTTTTCTCGATATGCCAGATGCAGACACCGTTGTGAGAAAGTGGGAACAACCTCGTAATTGCCCACTTAATACTCTTCTTCCTGTTCGACACAAACACTAGCTGGTTTGAATCATCAATGACATCTTTCAACTTTGCAAAGAATCAATACCACGATACATTTGTTTCCCCATCGACAACACTCCACGCAAGAGGATATATTTGTAGGTTAGCATCTTACGCTGCATCTACTAGTAGTGTTCCCTTATATTGGCCCTTCAAATGACTTCCATCAACACAAATTACTGGCCTCATGTATTCTCGAAAACCACGTACACTAGGCCTGAACGCTAAGAAGAAGTACAAGAACCTATTATTCGAGTCGAGTTCAATGTGTGCAATAGTTCTTGAATTTTTCTCGGTTAACATGTGACAATATGATGGCAATTTCTAGAAACTTTCTTTGGGTGTACCACGAAGAAATCGAAGTCCCTTCTCTTTAGCTCTCCACGCTTTGTTGTAGGTAATTCGTACACCAAATTCACGTTCCATATCCCCAATAATACCCGCAGGAACATATGATTGGTTTGCATCGTCCAACCTTCGCATTATGTGATGCCCAATTACTGCACTCGTTGCGTGAATTTGTGCATTTCGTCGAACGTCTAGAGAACATGTGTGCTCAGGTATGTACTCTCGAATCATAAATACTAGCCAATGGCATGTAGTATCGACACAACACATAGTAAGAGATCTAGGATTCGACTTTTTAACTTTGAAATGAAACTTCTCTTTCAAAGCCTTAAGTTGAAGCCTTGTGTGTAACTGTTGTTTGCTAAAGAATATCTGATTCTCCACAATGTCCTCTTCATCAATCGACTCAATTGCATTTCAAATAAACAAATTGCCTTCACCTGAACTTTCATCCATATTATCAATCGTTTGTGGCTCTTGTAGTTCGCACATACCGACTTTATCGCGTCCGCACAATGCATCTTCTATTGGTGACAAAGGCTCAACTCCGACATGCAGTTCGTGCTCTCCAGCATTATATTCATCTACAATTACACACAATGCTGCTTCTGTGTGAACAAACATAAACCATTGCAAATCCTCATCGTCGGCTACATCAGCAGGGGGTATATTCATGTTCGGAACTGTAAATTTCAATTGAATTCGGAACTTCATTCTATCAACATTCAACTTCTAGAATAATTTATGTACAAGCTCTTCATATGTAATATCATGTCGAACAACAATTGATGTTGTTCAGTTCCCTAACCACTTCTACCCGTCATCTATGTTGACGAATCTACCACCATACGAGACAACAAATCTCTTAACATCTCCCATATCTGCATGTCATAAACAACAATACTGTCAACCACTAACGAAAATCGAAAACGAAAATGCTACCTGCATGCAATATGTGAATTGCTATACACGAAATTTTCCCAACTTACTCAATTTTTTAATGTTATTGTCAACATTTGACAATATCGAGAATGATAGTATAAATATCATTCTCGACGTTTATAAATGTCATGAACGATATTTATACTATCATTATCGATATTTATAAAATATTGAGAATGAAATGACGGGATTTCATACATTTATCATCTTCTTCAACTTCAACCACCATTTTTGCAAGAATTTATTCCACCATAAATGATATTCTAAATACAGAAGTATATTATCTAACTAAGTTATTTAAGATGAATGGTATAAAAAATATATACTCAGGATAATTTCGTCCATTGAAGGGAAAAAATACCTTATCAAAAAATTAAGATTTGAACATATATAACAACAACTACTAAATAAAACTTATAAAAAAATGAGAGTTCGAAGAAATAGAGTTCAAAGAAATATACCTTCTATCGACAAATGATGAAAGCCTAATCAGCTTCAAATTTCTACCACAGTAAATTTCTTAAAATGATTTCTTTGAAGTTGGAATCATATACTTCTTCGTATATGTTAATGGAATTTTTGCTTCTTCTTCATTTGTTCTAGAATAATTGATTAAAATATAATTAAAAATGTAAGCAAGTGGACTCACCTAGGTAATAGCAACATTATTGTGGCTTCTCCTAGAAGTTATTTGCTCTTCTTAAAAATTGTGCCAAAGTGATAAATAATTGATTAATCTTGTCATGAGGGTAATGTAGACCTTTTGATCTAAAAATTGGACATTTTTGCAAGGATTATAAAAAAAGTATACTTTTCAACTCCAACCCTTATAATTGGACATTCTTGAAAATGCCTCAAAAAGAATTTATAATAACGGTTCTCAAATATGGACCTTGTGCTTCTTGCCAACTAATAGCTTATTCCACAATATTCTTCTCACTCCAACTTTCTATAGCATGTTATCAAACTTATTTGGCCCATGTTTGGTTTTCAACTATACATTTCATCAAATTTAATCAAAAGCTACTAAAAATCTGATTTTAATCCACATTAAACATGTGCTTAATAAATAGAGATAGTGAAATTGGGCCACGAACTTGGGAATTATTACTACCTTGTTGAGGTGCCATGTAGAGGCTGCCATTCATGACCTAGATGAGGTGCTATAACCCGCCGCATAGGCGATCCGAGGCGATTAACCTCTTTGTTGATGGAAAAACACTTCACATTTCACCATTTTAATAGATTTTCCATTCAAGATCTTTCTAAAATTGATTGATCTGACATTTCTACAATAGACATCAAAACAATGAAGTTGTCAATCTACTTTTTAAATATCGAACCTAGGCTTTAGAGTGACATTTCACTTTCAAAGCTCACACTTAGTACCGTTTGAAAGTAATACAATTTTAAAACTCATCTATAATATTGCTATCTCATTTTTATTATAAACCTTTGTGCTCGAACACTCTTGTAGCTCGCGTCTTAAGCATGCCACACACCTAAAGATACTATACACATTGACTGACTTCACTCTCAAATGCACGCGACTTCCTCTCGAAAAGGCCATATATTGCTAACGATTTGTCTAAGTGTGCAAGATCTTAGCTATGTGGATGTGAGTGGAGCGCCATGTCACCCGTACAGAAATTAAGCTGAGCAAATTGACATCGTCTGTGTGAATTCACACTATCAACCACGAGAAAATCCAATGGAAAAAGCTTATGAAAAAATGCTTCAACTTCCCTTTAAAGACCTTCTTTGTTCTTGAATAAAGAACAAGTAAAAGTTTTAGAAAAAGAAGGTTACAAGTTAGGGCTGGACAAAACTCCCGAACCGAACCGACCGAACCGAACCCGAACCGAACAAAACCGAACCCGACGGTTCTTCTCAAGTTAAATACCCGAACGGGTATTTGAATCAGGAACCGACGGGTATGGTTCGGTTCTCGGTTCTAGGCCAAGACTCGAAGAACCGAATAAGAACCGAATCTCCTTAATTTTTTTAATTAATTTATTTTAAATAAGTAAAATTATTTTATTTTTTCTGAATGAATATGTTAACTAGTTAATTTAGTTCAAACTACAAAATATGATTTTCCTATTTCTAATATTCAGTTCAAAATCGACTTAATCAAATTGACCTCAATTTTATCCAAATTTGTTATTCTACTGTAGTGTCGTTTCTACCGAAGAAAATCGAATTAAAACTCTACAACATCTCTCTTAATTATTTTGAGCTCGCTATCTTTCTCGTTCTGTGATTTTAATAATCAAATTTATGAAGAATTTAGCAAAGAGAGATGTGAAACACATAAGATTGAATTACATTATTTTGTAAGAGCTAATATTAAATATATCATTAATTAAATTAACGTAACTTTGTACGTATTAAAAAATTTAATTATAATACGGAACCGAATGGAACCGAACCGAACCGAATGGAACCGAACCCGAACGGTTCCGTAATTAAATTTGGACCCGACGGTTCCACTTACTAAGTACCCGAAAATTTCGGGTCGGTTCGGTTCTCATTAGAACCGAACCGAACCGGACCATGTCCAGCCCTACTACAAGTATTCTTTTCTATTGAGTGTTTGAGTCTTCTTTGGAGAAAGAGGGTTTGAGAAGAATATATGTTCTGGAAAACCCTTTTTTTGAACAAAAGAGGTTGTCCTTGTTGAGAATTTACTTATATATACACAATAGAATTTTAAAATAATATCAATTCCCTTTAAGGATGTTCATTATGTTTAGATATAAATCATAATTAGCATTATACCTTTAGTAAATTCTTCAAACTCATTTGAGAATTTTGATCACAAACAATCACGATCTTTGCAAGTCTTTGTTATTCATGTTCTTTTTACACTACAACTGTCCAATTATCCAGTCTCCAATAGTAATCCATACAGGAGAACTAGAATGAAGTATTAGAGTTTGTCTTTCTTGTGCTAACAAGATTATGATATTGCGATATATATGCTAAGGGTTGTAATTGAAATCTCAAATTATTATTGTGACAACTTATGGAAACTCAAACCTTAATCGCTTATTAGTAGATGTTTAAGTGGGCTTGATGCACCCACTAAACGAAGCCAACACAATATTTAATTAATTAATCTTGGCTCATAAGTTAATTAGTCTAATAAATTAATTTAAGCCAATTAATAATCAATCCAATTAATTAATTCTACAAAAGTTCATCACTTGTCGATGAATTAATTCATAATATCATTTTTCAGTTCTCCCCTTTGTTATGTGATCCATTAGATTCTCGATCATGGTATCGAACAACATAAATTATTATTTTGATCTAAT